AAGTAGAATACGTCCAATCAGATTGGAACGCCGGGTATACTACTCTAACAATATATAGATTGGTTCCAATGAAGAAACATTCTTAAAATGAGGACATGAGACTCAATCATAGTCATTAAAAGGGTAACAAGATGTGTGGCCAAGATTTAACTCTTTATTTAAATAATGATTTTTTATTTTAATTAGTTTAGTTATTTAAATATTATTTTGACCATTGCCCGTTGACTTTGACTCCAACGTTGACCATTGATTTCCGACGTTGACTCTGGCGTTGACCGTTGACTTCCGACGTTGACCGTTGACCCTAGATATAACAAACCTTGCATCAGCATAGAAGTAACCTTGCAACTAGATATAACTAATATTGCAACTGCAGATAACTAACATTGCAACTACAAGTAACTAACATTGCAACTACAGATAACTAACATTGCAACTACATACAACAAACCTTGTAAATACAGACACCTATCCTTGCAAAAACAAACAAATAACCTTGCAACTATAGAAAACTAACCTTGCAAATAAATATAAGTAACCTAGCAACGGCATAGTACTAACCTTGCAACAAAATACACCTAACCTTGCAACTAAATTCAACTAACTTTGCAAAGAAAGACACCTATCCTTGAAACAACAGACAAATAACCTTGCAACTATAGAAAAATAACCTTGAAAGAAAATACCCCTAACCTAGCACATGCATAGAACTAACCTTGCAACAATATACAGCTAACCTTGCAACTAAATATAAATAAACTAGCGATTTAATATAAGTAAACCTGAAACTAACAAAAAATACAACTAACATCACAAATAAATACAACTAAACATGCAACTGGATAAAACTAACCTTGCAACAACATAGAACTAACATTGCAATTACTAATAACTGACATTGCAACTAGATACAACTAATCTTGCAACTATATACAACTAACCTAGCAACTACATAAAACTAACCTAGCAACAACAGAAAAATAATCTAGCAACAACAAAAACTAACACCGAAACAAGATAGAAAGTGTTGCAATGTTAGTGTAAAAATGATGCATAGTTAGTGATAAAATGTTGCATAATTAGTGTAAAAATGTTGCATGGTTATTGAAACAATGATGTAAAAAATACGTTGCATAGTTAGCGATAAAGTGTTGCAAAGTTAGTGTAAAAATGATGCATAGTGAGTGATAAAGTGTTGCTCAGTTAGTGTCAAAATATTGCATGGTTATTGAAACAATAATGCAAAAACTGTTGGGACCTATGAGGATCTCGATATGCACAAATCACGGACAAACATTCAACATAAACCTATGCGCAGCGGATCTAAAGGTTTGATGTAGAAAACTTACGGCTTAAAATTTATGTAGATCTGGCTGGCCCGAACAAATGACCGCAAATCAAATCTTCTTGGAATCGAACAAACTTGACCAATCCAGGAAGCTGATGTCACGGCGAAGTCAACGGCGTTGACCAGTCGGAAATCGGAGCATCCACGCGCTCTCACGCGCGCGTGTGAGTCCCAGCAGCAGCGAACTTCCGGTGGCGCGTGTGGGCGCGTGCGGCAGCGGCTGGCGGCGATCTCTCCGACTCGTCGTCCTGGTCGTCGTGGTATGGTCACTTGCTGGTTTTGGTCTCCGGTTTGGATGGATGATTGATCTGATTGGAATCCCGTATATACCTTAAGATCTTCTATCGTATTCTCAAACAGCTATCTAGATCTTCTATCAGTGGAGCACAAGAAATAGAACAACTCCTTGGAAGAGAGAGAGAGAGAGGGGGCGGACGAATTGCTTAGGTTATGGGATTGTCTCCCTTCCAAGAGCCTAATGTTGTATATATAGAGCTACAGTAGGGACCCTAAGGAGAATAGGATAAGGGCTTCTAATATATTAATACTGTGGAGCAACCCCACAATTAATATATTAATAATATTAAAGTCCACCACAATAATATTATTGCACTCCCTTTACCTATCCCAAATTACATTTGAGACTCCTTATTATAATTATCCGATTTACCTCCCCATGTTTAAGATATAATGTCCATTAATTAATTCGATCACTGATAATCAAGAATTAGTTAATATATGATATTACCGAAGCTAGCGCTCGCTCATAGCATTCATATTATGTCGGAATAAATCCACCTGCAGGGTTTAGCAAAATATTCCTTCATGTACTCACTTCGGGGACATCATCAGACTAACGCACATGGTGACCGTAAATATCCTAATAGCACATCGAACACATAATGTCATTACCCAATTCATTAAGTACGTCGACCCGGCTTGGATCTCACCCAAAGAATCAAAGCAACAACAATTATGTGCACATGCCTATTTAATATCTTACGGGTTAAGAGCACGCAATAATTAACTGAGGCCTAGTTCGTTTACGACGATCAGTATAAAACGAACATCCCTCTCTGGGATCCTGTTCAATACATAAATGTACTAGTGCAACTAATCGGTCAAGACAAACCGTACGGTTGACACTACAACCGTTCCGATGGGTTGTTCAATTCCATCTAGGTTGTGAACCAATGATTCTTGTTTCGCAAGTAACTGATATAGTGATCTTCGGTACGCCCGATGACGACCCACTTATCTACATGCAAAACAACAGAACGTGGAATTTATTTAACCAAACATAATTCTCATCCATCAATAAATAACAAGTGTAATATCCACTAAAGCAAAGCTTAAGTATATAACACCAACAAAAACGACGTTGCATAGTTAGTGATAAAGTGTCGCACAATTAGTGTAAAAATGTTGCATGGTTATTGAAACAATATATAATTCAAAAACACTATACACGAGAGACATATTTATTATAACAAACCAGATACATATTTATTTCAACAATGGTGCATAAGTATTCCAATTACCTAATCTGAGCCATTGATTAATGGATAAATTTATATTGCGTTCTGGTTATGTTGGTTAATGATTACTTTGATTTGTTGTTTTAGATAATTTCTACTCGGTTTTAGTTTTTTTTTTTTTTT